CCCAACCCCAAACCCAAACCCCAAAACAATTATATATGGATTGTTATTTTTCCAGTCTCATATAATCTTAACTACATATCACCTAATTTGAATAGAGGCCTATTAATTTGTTTATTTTGCTCCAAACTCACCTCCTGGTAAAATGGACTGGGTCATTATTGCTCATTTGCCATGAGTGTCGACCTCATGAGACAAATAAATGAGTCGTAAGTCAACATTAAATGGACATATAAAATAAATAAATAAATTTTGAAATTCATTTTTCATTTACTCAAGTTCAAAAATTTAATCATAAACACGCATTGTAACTTCTAAAAGATCAGCTAATTTATATAATGTTATTAATAATATTATCAATTATTTAAATATTAAATATTTAAATTCTTCCCATGACATTAATTTTGATGTTAAACCTATGTATCTTCATTTGATAACATTTTAGTTTTTAAGCATTTCCTGAAATTAAATAAGTAAAATTGAAATAACTTTTTCCAAACCTCTAGAGCTAAAATTTTACCTCTTTCAGCATTCTACAAGAGTTAATTAAAGGCTTTTAACTGTAGAATTCTTTTTGATTAATGAAAGAGAATAGGAGCTTTCTTAAGCATTTTTATCATACTATATGAAATCAAAATTAGTAAGGAAGTAGATGCAGAAACCAATATATTTCGTAATTTAGTATTCCTATTCAAATAAATCCACGAATCCATTTAGTTTTTGAAAAATCAAGATTTCAGAGGTGATTTTATTATTCAAAAGAAAGAATAAATTTAAAAGGAACTTATCTTAATTTAACGACCATCTAATAAATGCTAGAATAGAAAATATATAAAAAAAACGTTATAAGCTTTCGAATTCCAATCATTAATTCACTCTTTCTCTTTTTGTCTATTACAGCCTATAATAATTCTTGGATGAATAAATAGCTGCATCAATAAAGCTCGAATAAAACAGAGTAAAAGGAAAGTATAAAATGAATCCAACTAAAAATTTCTGGAGGAGCTCATTTCTTCAGTGAATTATGAGTAATGAAAATTCCTTCTCTTCCATAACCATTAGCACTTCTATATTTATTATACAATTAAACAACAATAATTCTTTTGATTAGAGAGAATAAGGTGAATTATATTTGGAAGTGAATGCTCAAATTGATTTAGAATAATAATGTCAGTAATCTAAAGACCATCTTATAATTACTTAATAATATTATTGTAATTTCTTATGAATTTAAATATATTAATAAAATAATTTATCAACTTATTCATGAAGCAATTTTAACAGTAAAATGCAAAATATTACATCAAATTTTAATTATTTATATTTAATGTCTACTATTAAATTAAGATGCCTCAACTTTTAATAAACAAATAGAGCTTTATTTTTGATAATTTTTGTTTAATCATAAGCTTTAATAATGCAACAGATATGTAGAACTTAAACAATTTGGACCCTTATAACATTAATATGTTATTTTAAATAGAAAATTAATACTCTCTGTTTGAAATAAGAAATATCCTAACTTCAATTTGGAGTAGTTTCAATTTGAATTTCGGAAAATTAAATCATTATATCATAAAAGTCTATTCTATCAATGATATTTAAATCTAAAAATTTACACATTTAGTTCATTTTTTACTTGTACATTATCATTAAATACTAATTATCTTGTGATGTTCAATAGTTTTAATTTTAATTTTCATTGAAATCTTATTAATTATTATTAAATATTTAATTTCAAAGATGATGCAAAATGATGCTTTTTATTTTAACAGATCATATAGATTTTTAAATTGATTATACTCAATTAGATATTATTTTAATTTTATTAATATCAAATTGCTAATTGTATTGAATAATGAACTACATATAGTAGAATTTGAGATGAGCATATTTAACTTTAGGTGATGAATTTAGAAATTAATTTTAGAACATGACTTGATTGATTTTATTAATTTATTGAAGATAATAATTATCCTCAAATTTAGAATGTCATATAAATTTATCAATTATTTCCAACATTTACAAGTTCACATTATGTAAATTATGAATAATAATGAACAATGTTTAGATAGAATAGATGGTATTTTGTTCTTGTAATATCAAACCTAATTGTGAAATATTAGTTTAAACTTGAAATTAATCTTAAAATCAAATGAGAAAGAATTTATTTAATTGATTAGGAAGCTTTAATCATGTTGTCGAAATATAATCTGTTTACTTGTATTAGAGAATAGCATATATCAGGGCAGAATGAAAAAAATAATTTTAATAATCTAATTCTACTAAAAGTAATGAATCATTCAGTTCTTGAACCAAGAAATAAGTTTTATTGTATATAAAGATAATTATTTGATTCAATGTAAATAATTGAATAAATATTTATTTTGTTGACAATAGTTTATTCAAATGAACAAGCCAATATCTGCAAAAAAATCTTAATAAAGATATATCAACCTTAATTTTTCGATCAAATTTAATTGAAATACTAGAGAAGTAGAAAATAATGAAGAGCAAATAGATAGGATTTTTAAACGTTTTACAAAAAAACATCTAAAAACGCTGCTCATTGGTTGTTTTTAAGCATTTATTTCCACTTGATGTGATTTATTTGGATCATAATCTTATTGTTCATAAATATTTGATATCATTTCAGATTGGATTTAATTTTGAACACAATTTTGGAATAATTTAATTAATTTCTGCATTTTTTTCTAAATTTGTCAATCGAAAATGGGCAACAGGTATTTTAAACTTTAATTTATATTAGTTTAAGTTATTCTGATACATTAGAAGCATCTATTGTTAGCTTTATTATTAATTATTTCTTCTCATTCTTATTCGCTCTCACTTTAGGGCCTATTACTTTTGTAAATATAAATATTATCAGTCTATGATTTCAGAAATTAATAAAAGTGAAAGAAATACTTTTGTTTGTGACTTTTTATTTATGGCAGCTATTTATGCTCTAAATATATCAGTTTATTTTAGATGCTATTTAAATAGATGGAACTTTTATCGTATTTACTATTTAACCATTTATTCTTTTACTCTTTTTTTTAAAGAAACTAAAAGATTAAATCATGATGAAATAGGAAGATTATATGCAAAATTATGATGTGAACAATAATTAAATCTTATTGTATATTATTAAACTATAAAATGATGGTTCAGCTTAGTATTTCTTATTGCTGACTGAGGATTTGAATGTATAGCTTGAATCTTGAATCTTTTTGGTGTTGATTCTTAATTTAGTAAAATAAATATGATCAATACTACCTATCATAAATAAATTTGAGAAGATTTTTTCAAAACATATTATCTATAAACATGATCTTATTATATTCATCTAATTAATTTGTCAATCACAATCTATGATATTAATTATGCAATTTCGATATTTTCTGAAGTATTCAAATTGTAATTAATAGTTATTTAATTACATAAACTATTTAAAAATGCAATTAATAATAGTATTATTCTTTAATATTGTAATTAATTCTGATGATTTTTCTCTTTCTTCATCATCTACTGATAAGCTAATTTCTTTATAATATTTTTCGAGATTTGTTAATACTTCTCAGGCTTGATAAAATTAGAATTCCTCCATTCCTTCGTTTACCTATTGATTAATCAATTTAATGTTTTTGGCTTTTTTAAACATTTGGACTAAAATAAATAAATTTTTGACATCAATATCAATAAGAAAAAGTTAATGTTTTAACACTTTAGGTGAATGAAAAAAATATCATATATCTGTTGTAATGGAAATCTAACTGACTTATCGGAAAAATTTTGCTATTTCTCCATCTAGAATTTTACAGCGATTTGTGTAAATATTACCTACTTTAATTTAGTAGGTCACCAAACAAACAAATTACATATTTTTTTCCATTTAATTCAACCATAGATGATATATTGGAATGACAGCTCCTCATTATAATTTTGAACTGGCCAAAAATTTTACCTATAGTCTATTTAACCATCATAATTTTGATTAAATACAAAATATCATTAGTTTTTGGTTATTAAAAACAATTTTTCCAACTTGATAAAATAGGAGAGTAAAAAAATATAATATAAAATGAAGAAGTAGAGGATGAAGAACTATATTAGTTGAAAATTCTGTGATATCTAAATATAGATATCGATCAAATCTTAAAGCAGCAGTTTGTGACAAGTATACTTATGCTGTAAATTTATTTAAATGGTCTAATTAGGAAATTTTATATTAATAGTTTTATTACAAATTTCATAAATGGTTTGATTAACTAAAGAATGCATACATCTGCAAACTCTTGTAAATATTAAGTGCCAAAATAGAATTATAATGTTCAAGTAAAACATTTCCATTTATAGGAGATGTGTATATATTGATTCCCATTCTAATTTATTTTGAATAATCCTCCGACAATCTTTCAAATAATAAAGTACCTAAACCTATACCTCCATCTACTGAGGTAATTAAAATTATTCCTTATTGACATGAACTCTAGCAAACTTATTTGAAACATATTCCTTTCAATATATAAATTAAATGGACTAAATAATTCTCCCTATGCTCAGTATTTCTCTTGTTCTATTTCTGTAGATTCTACGTCTATAAATAAAGATCTTGGATAAAAGTTTCCTATAGTATTTTCAGAAAGAATTAAAAAATTTACCATATTTTTCCAAATTTTATGTTACTTTTTATATAAATCCATCCCATGTTCTAAACAAACAACTTCTAACAAGAATCCAAAAATTAAAAATTCCTTATCCAATATGTTTTGAGATTATTTTTCTCAAATTAAATATCTTTGAATTTTCTAAATAACAATAAAGATTTGCTCTTGTTGAATAATAATTATCTATCTGAGTTTTTTGATAAAATAAATTCTTAGTTTATTAGTAAATCAAAAGAGCTTAATTTAAAATTAATTTAAAAACAACCAAAATATTATTTTTGTTTAAAAACCATTTCCAGGGAATACTTATAAAATAGACTAATTGAAAAATATTTCATTGTTAGAATCTGAATTCAATCTTTGTTTCTTAAACTTGCAGTTAATGGATAATAATAAGAATTTCTATTGTTTATAATAAATAAATGGTTACAAATAAGATTAGTGAACAAGATGTTTCAAATAGGAAATATCTTTCAAAAATGAGTTTAATAGTTATCCAAAATAGAATATTTTGTTTTTGTTGTTTTATTTGCTTATTGACAAAGTTAGATCTATTTTAAAATACATTAATATATGTAAAGAAAATGACAAGAAATAAAAAACTAATTTCTTCTTTAATTTCTAAATATATAAACCTGGGGAACTTATTAATAAATAAAGTATTACTTTACTCATGATGAAATTTGTTAATCAATTATAAAATTCCATGATTGAGATTATTAATTCAAAATTTAGATCAACAAATACATTCACAAAAATTCATAAAAAAACTATTAGCATTATTAATTAATACTAGTTTTTATTTTTGAAATTATGGACATTCTTCGAAGTTAAAAATATTAAAACTATTGTTTTTTAATTTATAAATGTACATTCCACTTTTTTATAAAATTTTCAAATTCCTTTTTTCTTTGGATACATTTGAAGCAAATCTAAATGGATTTGTAATTATAACAATATTTTTTGATCTAAAAATAATTTAATATTGTATTATACTTAAGACTTTGTGATTTTTTAAAAGCATAGTTTTTATTTCAATTTTAATATATTAATTATAACCCTATCTTCTTTTTACCTCATCATAGTTAGTTCTTTTTAAGGTATGTTGTAAAAGTATTATCAGAGTACCAAGTGTCAAATAATTTGAAAATCAATGATAATATTTGCAACATGTATTTTTTACAATAAACTGTTAGAATATCATTAATAAATGGATAACCTAAGATTATGCTGTCTAAAAAGATGAATGTTTATATGATAGATGAAATAACTTATTTCTCTTTTTATTCACATATTATCTGATATTCTGTTTTACAATAAATTAAAATTTCATAAATTGGATCTTCCTGCTTAAACGGATCCATATTAAATGTTAAAGATCCAAGGTTGAAACTATTAATTTCATTATTAAAGCTTAATGTTGATACTGTTTTAGATTCAATTACCTTTGAAGTTACAATATCAAAAATTAAATAATTTATATTAGAAGTAGAGTTGAAAAATTTATTACATGTTCATTCATACTATTCTTGAACTTTATTGTGAATTCATTGATGTAAGATAAAAATTTCAAACGATTAGGATCATAAAGTTCAAAATTCTATATTTATTAACCACTAGGGATAAGTAAAAAATTAGTTGATACTACTTTACCTTAAGATAGAATTTGAAATGGTTTTAATTGTAAGTCTTGAAAAGAACTGTTATCAATTTTTCTTTTTGGAATTACATTTCCATTTAATTTATTGATAAAGACAAATGTTAGGGTATTTCTTTAATATTATTTGATCCCAGTTTAACATTATTAAATAAAACGAGAGATTAAATTAAATTATTTTGATTTAAACTGCTTATTCCACCTAAATATATGCCACCTGCTTCTTCTGCTGAATTATTAACAATTAATGTAGATTGAATAGTGAATCTTTAGGAATCTTCTTCAAAATAGAATCCACCTCCCCTATAAGATGCAGTATTATTTATAATTTTGTATTTGATAATGTAACTATTAAATTGTAAACCAAATTCCTGATCCTTATCTTCCATTATTAGAAATAAAAATTGAAGTATCAATAAATTCAATTCTTTAATCTGATTTTGCCCATAGACAACCATAATTTTAATAGCATTCTGTATACATGATAATTCTAATATTCTAATTATAAGAAAAGCAAACCATTCCAACAATTTTAAGAATTGCTATTTATTAATAGAACCTTTTTCAGAAATATTTTAGTTTGATTTGTAACACTTTTTAATTTGATGAAAGACTCTTTTTAATCTGAATAAGCAAGAATTTCATCAAAAAATTTTTACACAGTTTCCTCTTGATAAATCTGTTAAGTTATGATTTAAATAAATATTTTTTTTTATTTTATTTTTAATAATATTTTAGAGTGTACATAATATTTACTGTGAAATCTACATTAAGCAAATTCTAATTGAATGTGATTATAATAAAAAAACTTTAAATTCTCTTTCTTTAAAACTAATTCATTATAATTTGATATTGTGATTTCATTAATATATAAAATATCTATTAAATTCAAGGGATAAAATGTTAAGATATGAATAAATTTCATATTTATTAATGTGATCTATTTTGAATCTTAAACTTTTATAATAGGTAATAAAATGATTCCCTCTATTTGGATTCCATCTAATAATAATTCACATCCAAAAAAATTAATCATTGCATTATCATCAATAACTTTTTGATGATAATTAAGGAAATTTTCCCAAGAGTTTAAAGAAAAGTCATGAAAGCTTATTCATTCTAAATTATTCTAAAATCATATATTTTCACTTTATTTTATTCTGCATTTAAAAAATCAGCTTCAAAATTTAAAATTTAATTAATTAGTGAAAAGTAATCTTAAGCAACGATATTTTTAATAGAATATTATTTTATGTAGAAGAAGGATATATTGAAAAAATAGATGAGGATAGTTTATTTTAAACCTCTATTTAAGTAATATTTTCAATATTATGATAAAGAATTGATGTAATTTATAGATGAATTATTTATTTAAATAATGATTCTATTGAAAAGATTTTGTATAAAATTAGAAAATCAAAATGATGTGTTTAGAAAATCAATTAACTCAAATGAGTAATAAGATTAAATAAAATCAAGATTTTTATACATAAGCATTTAATGTAACTGGGTAGATTAAGTTTTCAGGTTGTGGAAAAGATATAAAATTATGGAGCTTTAATAATTGAGAATTAAAGGAAAAATATAAATTCTTATTTCATAAGTCAACATTAAGTTGTTTATTATTTATTTAGTAAATAATCTGATAATATATTTCTGAATAGTATGATAGGACAATTAGAATTTCGAAAAAATTTAAAGGGTAATAATGGAGAAGCCTATCATCAAATGATGATAATAATAGTATATTTTGTTTAATACTTTCAAAAATTCTAATATCTGGCAGTTAAGATCATTTAATAAATTTAAGGGATATGGATTTTGAATTTAATTGTTTAAATTTATGTTATCCTTTAATTAAACATACAGATTATGTTTCTAGTTTATTATTAAATGAATCTGAGACATTTTAGTTTCATGTTGAAATGATTAATAAATAATTGCGCGGATGAAAACATCAAATATTTATTGGGTATTAAAATATATTTTTATAGTAAAGATTTAACTTTTAATTTTCATATTTATAATAATTGTACGTAATAAATAATAGAATTTGGTACAAAAATTTGATTCATAAAAAATTAATTTATATGAATAAGTGAAAATTATGATGGAAAGATTATATTTTTTTTTTAATTATAAAATAAGTAGTTTTAAGGATAATCTAACTAATAAATCAAATTAATTTTAAACAAATGATATGATGATCATTATTTATTAAATTCAATTAAGGAAAGAGAATAATTCTTTTAAGACATAATTCAATAAATACATACTCTCTCAACAATTTTCATAATAAATATAAAATTTCTACAAAATTGTGATTTTAGCATAATATCAATTAAGGATCCATGACCAATGATGCTTAATTTATGGTTTTATGGGAAAAGAAGTAATTCATTTTACTTTATATATTAATTTAAGTAAAATTAATATGGATAAGTTTAATAAAATTTTTAATAATATTATTATTCAAAAAATCAACCATAAAATTA